ATAGCGGCCGCTTCTACCGATTACCCGTAAATCGGTTGATTATTAGCCGGACACCATCTCTCGTGTCGATTCGGTACGTTCCATTGTTCGTTCGAGAATACGGTCACCGGCAAAATTTACGAAATTTTACGTGTCGTCAACGTTTTAGTAAAATTTCATATTTTAATAGGATGATTTTAATATAATTTTTAATAATAATTTAATTCAATTCTTAAATTGAAAGTACACATTATACAGTGAAGCATACGACACATTGTTTATACTGCAATGTTGCTTTATGTAGGGCATACGACAAATAAGAAAAACAATAAAAAGGAAAAGAAAAGATGAATGAAAAGGATAAAATAGAATTAGAAAATTATGAAGCTAGAAAATTAATATTATCATTGAGACACGATATAAATTGTTAAGAAGCTACGAGCACTGTTGATACGGTTCCGACGAGTACAAGCGTTTTGACGAGTTTTTAATGGATGATGTTTAATTCCGATTGTATGTGCGACATGCGTCCATGGAAACGGTGATATTTTCGGATAAAAATTGACCAGCTCGAGCAGACCATTTCGAGCTGAACAAAGATTGAAAGTGCACATTGGCAGGCATCCTATATCTATGAATGATTATGATGCACGAGTTTTGTAGTTGTACGAGTTTACAGATGGCCGACCATTGCGAATACGGTGGGTAATATTTTTGACGGATGGTTTTGAAATTGGAAAAACTTTGCGGAGTTTTAAAAGATTAACGAAACATGCGCCATGATTTCGTTTCATACATGGACCAACCGCAATAGCAATGCGAAAATGTGTTGGGAACAACAGCGACCGCACGATTCATTTATTTCTAGGAGGGAGGTCAATCGTAACTTCTGCGTTCACTTGATATTATTAATTGTTGCGCATGGGTATCCGATTTGAGTTTCCCGTTTCAATGTGCAGATCATTACCGGCTTCATTAACGTTGTAAATAGTATACCTGAATCAAATCGATGTCCAAATCGAAACTATAACCTTAAAGTATTATAATATATCTAATCGAATCGAGATCGAAAAATTAAGTTGTACAGCATCAATTATTTTGTTGCATCGCTGATACGTTTTACAGAACCTAATTAAATTACTAAAATATAATATATAAGCATTAATTTTCCATTCCGAGCAAATAGTTCCGGTCGAAGTATAAAATTGACATAGCAGATACCAGCAGAATTTAATCATACTACCGAAACAATAAAAAGGAAAAGAAAAAATGAATGAAAAGGATAAAACAGAATTAGAAAATTATGGCTTTATTAATGTTGTAAATAGTGTAATTGAATCAAATCGATGTCCAAGTCGAAACTATAACCTTAAAGTATTATAATACATCTAATCGAATCGAGATCGAAAAATTAATTACTAAAATATAATATATAAGCATTAATTTTCCATTCCGAGCAAATAGTTCCGGTCGAAGTTATAAAAATGGCATAGCAGATACCGGCAGAATTTAATCATGCTACCGAAACTATCACCGATACTATCCTCCCCAATCGCCGCGTAACTTTTTAACGATCATGAAAACGCCGTTCGCTGGATTAACAATCGAACACGCCCGATACACCGGGAGAAGATCGCCGACGGGTTGGATTCGGCCGTAAAACAGAGCGAAATAGAATGCCCGATAAAATCTGACATAAATTTTACAACTTCGGCAGAGCGCGGTTGATATATAGGGGATGATAAAATTCCTCGCGAATTATCGGCAAATATGAAGAATTTCGGTGAAGTACATCCAGCAGGGAACAGCGTCCGGCGAACTCTGCGAGGCATTTCCACGCGGGAGGCCACGATTCTGCGAGCGTAATTCGTTAGATCGTTATCCGAGACAGACTCCTTTATAACGGAACGGTCGCCCGTACGGATTCAACTATCTGAGAGCAGCCTGCGAAATGACGTTCCTTTTACGAGAACGTAATAAATCGACCGCGTCCAGGATCACCGGCTCCCTTCGATCCCGAAGTTCTCCGAGCAGAATCAGCCCGGTTTCGGCCGTGAATAAGCCTGCCGAGGATCATTCATCGGGTTCGATATACGAGGGTCGAGATTAAGCGTCGGGAACAATTTTTCCGACGCTAGGATTTCCACGGCATTTCCCGCGAAAGCATCGGCCGTCCGAAATGGCCGACCGAGGAAAGAGAAAGCGACCAGCCCTGTATCGATTTAATTAAACAGTCGCGTACTGTTCTTTTTTTTATTTCAAAAGCTACGAAATTCTGCAGCGCGGTCTCCTTGAACATTCCGGAAAAATTCACTACAACGGTTCCAGGTACGCCGATCAAATATTGAGGAAAAGTTGAAGGAATTTATTTCGCGATATAGTTACGACTAGACTGCAGATGTTTATGCATGCTAAATATGCAAAATGCATATGACATTGATGCACGAAAAATATGCAAAATATGCAGGAAAGTATGTAAATATGCACGATCGATATTAAATATATATATGCTGTATTAAGCGTAATATTAAATATCAAGAAACATTCTCTGGTTATCCATCATACTTCGAATTGCAGTATATTACACGCATTTTTTTAGATTCGATGGCGTTGGTAGGTGAAATTTGTCGGTAAACATTGATTTGTGGACTGAAAATGACCGCTCCGCATCACATGATTTTTGAACGAAGTTAATGCAATTTAATATTTCCATTAATTTTATATGATTTTCTGAAAATTCGACACGAGTGCTTCAAAGAATACGATTCGTTGATGTACTAGTGAAAATGCTATACAGTAATTTTGCAACGATTCTGCAATATTGACTACAATATTTTCAAACATAAAGTTCGGTGCCGGAGTGTCGAAATATTGAAAAATAATTGTAGGAATTTTCTATTTGCGAATATTCTGCAATGTGCTAAATTAAAATTTCGGTGAAGTTACGGGAGAATGTAGAATTTTTCTAGAAGATATTTTCCAACAATCTTCACGGGAACTATCAGTCTTCGCGGAGCGAAAGAATGAAGGAAGAAATATCCTCGAAACGCATTAATCTCGCGCGTTTAATTAACATCGGCAGCAGGATATGAAAGTCTCCTAATCTTTTCCATTATTTTTTTTAGACCTCGTAAGATCAATGGTGGCCGAGGAAGAATTATGACATCCTCGAAGCGAGATAGTCTTCATGGCTTAGTTTGTATCACTTTGTGCATAATTAGGAATGATTAATGCGATCCGAATATTGCAAACGCAACGAAGCCATTAGAACTTAAAAAGAAGAACACATAGTTAAGTCAACATTTTCCTAAGGAAATTTTTGTTCAAGAACTATTCATGGAGCTCGCAAGACGCCAATGGTACTCACCGAAAGAGGGCAACATTCACGAACCGAATTAATCTCGCGCGTTTAATTAACGTCAGCGTCGGGACACCGATTAGTGCTAATTAATATAATGGCAACTTTCCGGGAGGGAATTTCTTAGGTTCTTTTCCCGCGGAGACATTATTCTTCATGAAGCTCAAAGGATGAATGGCGTCTGTGAAAGGAGGAAATATTCTCAAATTGTGTTAATCCCAGTCGCTTAATTAAAATCAGCCCGCGGATAGCGATTAGAGATGATTGATACGGTCAATATTTCTAGAGGGAAACGTCTTACCGTTTTGCTACATTCTCCGAGAAGATATTCTGAACAAAAATATTACCCAATCCTCTTTATATCTATCCCTTGATTAACATCGGTTCGAGGATAACAAATTAAAGCAGCCGACGCAGCTGCCATTTTTCTTAGCCGGCGTTCCTAAACTCGCAGTATTTTTCACGGGTCCAATCCCCGCTCCCCTCGCGATCCTATTAATTACCATCGCTCTAACAACTCGAAGCGAGCGAAAGCTGTCGATGCAAGAATCAAAAATCAATTTCCTGAGCCACGCAATGCCGGACTTGAAAAAACGAATTCTGCAGACCGATACCAGCAACCCTTCTGCCGCGAATTTGTATGCGAAATTGAAATGCGCCGCGCCATTTGGCGACGGAAGAAATAACTTTCGCCGGCCGAGTTTGTGAGTCGGTGTCAGTGCCGATTGGACGCGGGATAAACATGAATTTTGGAACACACGAGTCCACGTTATTGAACGATTAAATCTGCCAGACCTTGAAGGATTCAGCTCCGTTGTACGGGCTAGAATTTGTTGAAATCGTACGTCGGTTAAATTGTCGCCGCTCGTAAAAGAATAACGTCCGAGTGACGGGATACCGTTTTACCATAGATTATCGGCTTTCGCTTTATGAATTATAGACGGATATTGGATTGCGGCTGAGCGGACGGGCGCGAGAGTTAGGTGTGCTGTAACCTTTTTGTCGAAACCGTTCGAGTGGCCGATCCGTGTCAAGGACGTGGACCTGGATGCTATCCACGGTTATTTGCACGGTGGCGTCGTTTGCCACCCTCTCGGCTACACGTCACGCGTGTCATTCTAATGATCACCTTTACAGTATCTTCGTCTCCTCCCGCACCTACTGCGACACCGAGCAAACCGGGGACATTGATGTTCGGATAGCGGCATGGAAGGACAAAGCAGAGTAATCACTTAATAACCACGTCGTTTTCACTCAACTCTCTGTGCTTCATATTTAATTTTTATATTTATTATTATATATTATAATTATATATTATTTATTATTATATATTATATTATTATATTTATTTTATTATCCACCATATGCTTAAGAAAGTTACAAACCAGAATACAGACAACAGCAATTCTCACAGTCCTTACTTTTCTGGATAGCAATCTTCAGACTTCGAGTCTCTGAACGCCATCATACATTAACACATTCGTTGCTATGATTTGTTTCGTTGTCAATCTTGATTCCTGAAATTCTTCATTCCGTTCAACGTATCTCCTTCATAAAACGTAAGGACTTGAAAAAGTAAAGTCACCTATTGCTTGAACGCTATGCTATGCGCTACAACTACGAACGACACATAAAAACTTAATTCCACTATAAAGACGTAACCGATGAAATCCTGAAAGTTTCGCATGTGCGATGACACTGAACGCGGCGCGATATCGTTCCACAAATACAACTGTCCAGAAAGCAACTGCCACATCACTTCAGAAACATCACTCGAACCCCTTCCAAGGATGCAATATGATCTCCAGGATCAGTACGATCGAGCCAGCCACGAAGCCAATGGCCATGGTCAGAAACACGGGGACGAACTGCTGAAGATGCAGATTCGTTTTATAGTCCTTGTCCTGCGCAATGGCGGACATTCTAGCGCGGATGTCTTTTCCAAGGGCGATGTCCACCATGTAATCGAACATCCCGTAATCGAGTAAGAGTAGAATCTTGGTGTCGATTGTCGACATCAGCGGGAATCCCTTCCAGGTAGCCATGGACAAAGGAAAACTGCAGATCACGTCTGTGGTCATGGTGTAGGCGTAGGATGTCTCGATTGGTTCGCTTCTAGACGAGTTCAGCACCACTACCACCGCGAACGTGGTATTCTTACCTTCCAGGATGTCTCCGAAAAGCTCGATGTACAGATCGAGGTCGAGCTCGACGAACTCCTTTTTTATATGACCGACGAACTCGTCGGATTCGTCGAAAGAGTCTATGATAGTTTTGAACGCCGCGGTGCCGGCGATCTTGATGTTAGAAGCGGCCAGTTCCTCCGTGGTTTCGATCTTCAAGTTAGACTGATTTATCAATTGATCGGCCAAAGAGTCTATGTACAATTGGGTCAGGAAGAGGCCGAAGATGCTCCAGGCGATGAAGTGAATCCTTCTGGACAGTCTGGTAGGCTGTTTGTGCACGGGCGCCCCGATGATCATCGCGAAAATGTCCAGGCCAGCGACATCGGGCACCATGAACACCTTGAAGAAACCTCCGAAAATCAGGATTCCAATGATAGCTGCCCAGACGAAGGTCTGGAAAGGTCGGACAAGACCTTTCAACGATACCTCCGCGATCTTCGGCACCAGCCAGGCCAACTGCACCACGTCGTAGGTGTACGAGTACCCGATGTCGTCGTCCTCCAGATGCAGGATCCTGCCGATCACCAGATCCGCTTTCGTTGTGTCGAACAGAGTTGTTTTGACCTGGTCGACGAAGCTGGCGTTATCTTCCCAGGTGATCTCCAGTCTCTCCAAATTCATGTCCCTTCCCACTTCCTCGATCAGACGGCCTTCGAATCCGTACAACATTTCCGTTCCGTTCCTAACATTGACGTACGGAGGCTGGTACAGATAGGCTATCTTCAAGTAGCAATCGTTCAGCTCCAAGGGGCCGATCTTCTTCAGATTCTCCCATGTTCCATCGACGCAGCTTCCCAGGACCTCGGGTGCCATGGGTGTACAGATCTTGCCGGATTCGAAGGAGAGGCTGCCTGCTACCAGCACGGTGTCCCCGACTTTGCCCAGAGTCGCAACAATAGACAGCTTCCTGTGCCACATCGCTTCGGAGAGAATCGCAGCGTCCGAGAGAAAAGTCTCTTCGTCTTCGAACCTGTGCAGCAGTATCATCACGTAAAGACATCCCCTGTCGCAAGGGTCCAGTACGTAGTACTCGTTCAGCAGACTCCCTCCTCTAGACATCACGACAATCGCGCTGGATGCCAGCTGCGGGATGTTGAAATCCACCGCCGGCGGGTGCGTGTAGAATGCGTAGTGTTCCTTCAACCAGATCAACAAAGGATGCACGATCTCGAACACGTCCCCCTCGTCTTCTATGATGACCAACGCACACTTGGCCGGGTTACTTATACTCTCGTTCACGTAGTTTTGTATGCAAGGCAAAGTCGCCGAGAAGTTCTGTCGCAATTCTTGGATGGCGGCGATCTCACCGACGATCAGGCCTCGATCACCGGACGATTTCTTCTCCTGGAATCCTTCGAAGATCTCCAGAGGCACGATCGCGTCCTGCGGGACCATTATACAGGACCCGGGAAGCATCGTAGCCAGCAGTACGATTGATGGAGCGAGGAGAGACATGTCCGACCAAGACAGAGCTGCGACTGGTCTTGGAAGGCTACCCTTCGATTGGACGAGCGGATAATCAAGGACTCGGTGTCCTCTGATACCTATCGTTCTAACGAGCGTGCAGTTTGCTACCGCTCTCGATACCGCGATAACCAGCTCATAACTTGTAGACATCGCATCCTCTAGGCTAATTAGAAATTAATCTACAGGCTATCGGATGCTCGCTGCGTAGATTACGGAGGATCGATCGAGCGTCTTTCGGATATAATTTCGAGGTCGAATTTCGGCTTTTGATGGTTATTTTATGGAGAGCAGATTTTCGCTCGGGATAGGGTATCGCATGTTTAGCCAGCCCTATGCAAATACTTGCGACGAACCGATGTACGAGACACCGTTCGAGTCATGCGATCGTGACGTTGGAACCGTGCCCCGCCATGACGTGACCAACTTTCGAGCTGGGGCTCTCACAATGGGCCGCGAAGGTCGCGCTATCGGCAGCATTCTCGCGGCTGATCGGCTCCGAACTGGCGTCGCGACGCCCGGGGAGCGGTCCGAGGGGCGTCGCGACGCGTGAACGCCGGATTTCGGGCCGTGTTCCTGCACCCTTTGTACAGACCCCGCACAGTATCCGTTCGATGATCGATAATTCGACGATACGCGACGGCTCTTCCGAATTTTCGCATCGCGTCTATTGTTCGGGAATTATCTGGCGATCCAATTTTTCGATTGGAAAGTGGAGGAGTTTTAGACAGGTTGAGGCGCGCGAGCTTGTTAGGTTCGTTGCCGGTGTCTGCGTCGAAACGAACGTAATTGGTTCAAGGAAAATACGAGACGTGGAAGAACTTCGGTGAAGAGACGCGATCGCATGCGAACAGACTATAACAGCTTTTTTATCTACGGCGGACGCACGAAATTGTTTAAACTGGAGAGCTCTTTGATGCATCGAGAATGATAAAGTCCAGTTTAATGAGCGCATCGAAACCGTAATCGATGTGGTAAGAATATTTCCATTGCTAATGCGCGAGAGGTTGGTAGTCGAACGTCTCCGCAACGAAATTTATGAACAGCCAATGATTGATTTACGATAACAGGCGAAGATACATTTTTCGCTCGCTCGTCGGTTTTATTCTCGACGATAGCACGTCCGGTAAATACATTTTTAAGCAGACGCTTAGTTTTGTCCGATCGAATATTATACGCTAAGAATAGTATTCTACGCCTTCTAAGGCCCTCAATTACATGACCGTTCCTGCACAAGGTGCCCCTGGGGTCTGCATCTATATCAGCCCTCAATTACCGAAGCACAGTCTCGAAGACATCGCTGAATTTTTAAACTGGCGATAGCGTGTCTACTTTCGTTCCACAGAAATATTTAATGACAGGGCTGCTTTGTTCGATGTTCCTTCATTCTGAGGAAAATGCATCCCGTTCACTGTGTAGAGGAAAATGAATGAAACACTTCGGCAGCCACCTCATCGTTCCTTCAGCATATGCGCAGATTTATAAAATACCCGAAAGCATTCGTATGAATAGCAATTAATAATATTCTTATCTCATTCTCGCCATTTTATGTGAAACGTTCCATGAATACGTGAATTATAAAGATTTTCAGTGTAGTCTTCGCAGTGGCGAATCCTCTAACTATTCATACCGACTTCAGCCTGTTCATCATTTCTTCCGATTTCCATGAACCATTATCATGACATTCTAGAAAAATTGAAATTTCCACGAGAATGTTTAGACTGGCCATTCCATCAACGTCTCCGCAATTCCACCGATCACTAAACCCCAGCATAACACTCCTTAAGAACCCCACTATCCGAATTCAGACGTCACTGGTCTCTTTTTCAGAGCGTTCGTGAGGATCCTGTGCGGCTGCTGCCCTAGACGGATGAGGCGGCGGTATCAGCCGGCATTCAGATGCAAACCAAGCCAAGTGAGTATGAAATATTCATACTTCCTATGCGGGCACGGCTCGACACGTGCGAGCCTTTCGCGAAAACGAGGGGGAAAAAAAGCTCGTCCCGTCGGCTTCTTCCGGTTCCGCGCGCGGCATTTCGTTCAAAAGCGCTCTAATTCACCTAGCATTCGTATATAATCGGCTTGGCGGGGGCTCTTCACGCATCCTCAGCGCCAAGAAAACAAGAGAAGAAGACGAAGTGGGCGTCGGAAGTGCCTCGACAGCGTTTCAGCCTCGTCCAGAGGCGTTCGAGCAGAGCAACAGGCTGTAGGAGGATCGTCGGCGGACGAATCGATGTGGGACTCGTAAAAGTTGATTACAAGAGCCGCGGGACAGGCCTGGGTGCTTTCTCAGCCGAGCAGAAGGCGGTCAAGGGTGCGCAGCGAAGCTCGGGCACCGAAATTCGGTTTTGAAAACCGGCCAACTGGGAGATATTTATTATTCGGATTGCCGAAACTTCTCCGCCTCCGCTTCCCGATCATCCCCGATAACGTCGCCCTGTTAACCTCTGGACCAATTCGACGGTATCTCGACTCCACATCGGAGCCTTTTAATTCCTTCCCGGACCGTGCGGATGAAGATCCTTGTCTCGCGACGATCGTAAGATACCGAAGAACCGGGAGAACGGGTCTCGTGTTTCCGCGAATCCGCCGGACCAGCCTCGCGGAACTATAAGTTGATTCCTGGGACACGGGGGACAGGAAACTCTTCTTATTTATTAAAGAAGAAAAGTTCGAGGAGAGACGGGCTCGAGATGGGAAGAAAAGTCACGTTCGACTCGTGGCGCACACAGACGCGACGCGGCGCGGCGCAGCGCGACGTGCGGCACGCGGCGTATCGAATTTGCATGAATTAGGAGTCGCGTTCCGTCTGCATGCGGCCCGCGTACAGTCCCTCGCAAAATGTGTCACGTTCGGATAACTTGGTGCTTCGGGAATTAAATAGGTGATTCGCGGGTTTTTATTTTCGAGACCTCGGTGCCCGGCATACTAATGGAAGTGAAAGAAAAGAAGACACCGTTTTGCATTATGCGAAATACTTTGCCTCTCATTATCTCCTTCGCAAGCGTTGAAAAGATAGACCGACATAGATAAGATACTTTTGCAAATTAGCTGTAGAAAATAACAATGCCTCTAATAACGCAAAGCTGAATTTTTGTTATAAGATGGCATAGAGATGAACTTAACGAAAGAAAGATGTCAAAGTCTTTTTTAGAAAAGGCAAATGGATATAATTAATTAATTTAGTCATTCCGTGGTCGATATAAGTGTTGTTATTTATTGTGCATTTATGAAGAAATCGACTACATCGATTTATCGGCCGTGGGATCTTATGATACAGCTGTGAACTACTTAACTCATTTTCACACAAAAAAAGTAACCTCACAGTATTTACTATCAACTTACAAAAATTTTAAAAATTCTGGCACACATCGAAATCGTTTGAGAGCAAAGTCTGAGCCACTCGGCGAATAAAAATAACAAAAATGCTGATCGCAGGTAATTCGAACATGTCAAATTTTCGCGTCGGACTGTAACCCAGGGTACACCCAGTGCATCTCGCGTGACACACGGATCTCCAGGAGATTCGCATAAAATGGCATTCAGAATCGGTAAGTCCCGAGAGTCGCCTGGGATCGATAGCAACACAGATCCATCCTGAAGTCGAAGGAACGGTCTTCGCCGGTCTCGAATGCGCTGCTAACAAAACGGTTCTAGCATCGAGTCGGCGGGATGGAGCCTCGTAATGGTCGACGTCCAGAAGACACGATGCTGCGTCTGTCCATCGAACCCGCCTGTCGCGGGCTACGATCCGAGTGGATCGGAGAAATGAAAAAGACGGGGAAACGTAAAAATCGGTGATCGGTTGTATCCAGTGTAGTTACTGTTTTTTCCAGAGATTCGCATCCGCAAGATACTACTCCGCGTACACGCTCCACCACGTGCGCAGCAGCCGAGAGAGTTCGTGCGAGCAAACCTACATTTAACGATGGGATAACGTCGCGACATGGATACCGGTCACAGATCGTTTGGACACCGCCACGAAAACCATACTCGATCCATCCGCGCCCCCCTCCGTCCGTCGTTTGCGAAGCGTGGTCGCCTGCCTTCGGAAAGTCCTGTCCCGCCCGCCCCCCTCCGCACCCCTGTAATTCACGAACCATCATCAGTAACCGGCCGAAGATACTTAGTACAGAATTATCGGCGAAGGACTCTGTCACCGTCCCATTTAACATACAGCCTCGGTATGTTGACCAGCGAATGGATATGTCGATCTCTCACACTGCCACAGAGACACTACTTATGTCACACTACTGTTCATACACGAGCACCTGCACGAGCTACGAACACCCCGTGTGTCGGGATCAGCGCGCACACGTTCTTTGGTATGCCTAGGTGACACACGCAGCACCCACTGACTCTCTCTCTCTCTCTCTCCGATGCTCTAGCACCTAGCGACCACACACTGTCTTTTCTGTGTCCGGTGAAAGGCGTTGGGTTGCCCGGAGGGTCGTCACGATTTTCCCGCGGTCGCGGGTTGAAAATCGCGACTTTTTTTCAGCCCGAGGTTTCATTTTGGAGAACGGCAGAGGTAGTTGGCGTGGCCTGAATAGAGACGCGGGGTAATCATTTTCGTCGATCGCCTCTGAATGTGTCGGGCATTTGCTTCGGGACTGTTTTGTTTCGATCCTAGAGCAATGTGGAATCGATAGACGTCGTCTAAGTGGGCGTGGTGTGACCATTTAGGACGGTATGGTTTCACCATATACGGCACCACCACGAACGGCGGACTTTCTTTACATAAATAGAGCGGAGAATACTTGGAGTCATTTATTATTTTATTTAGGAATTTTGTCAACATAGATTTTAGAGACGGATTTAGATTTTCGCCGCACCGCAATGAGAAAGAACAATGAGAGAAAGGGTGATCGCAAGCATTTAAAATACTATTGGGTTGGCAAATAAGTAATTACCGATTTGTTCAATGAGAAATAGAAATTTTTTTTACTGGAATGGAGTTTAATCTGTAATGTATTTTCCATTTTGTTCGAGGACCTTTTGCCCTGTCTCTTATACACATCTAGATGTGTATAAGAGACAGGTGTAACATCAATTCCCAACCAATATCCATCAATTTTTGCCGAGTGGACAAAGACGTGTGCGGCCTAGCATTGGCCTGTCTCTTATACACATCTAGATGTGTATAAGAGACAGATTATAAAATTATTATTATTGTTATTATGTTATTTTTTATTATCCGTGAATGTTAGCAACTGGACAAATTTAATGCAGCGGTCAAGGAAAAGCGACCAGAATTGGTCAATCGTAAAGGTGTCATTTTCCACCAGGACAATGCTAGGCCTGTCTCTTATACACATCTAGATGTGTATAAGAGACAGATTATAAAATTATTATTATTGTTATTATGTTATTTTTTATTATCCGTGAATGTTAGCAACTGGACAAATTTAATGCAGCGGTCAAGGAAAAGCGACCAGAATTGGTCAATCGTAAAGGTGTCATTTTCCACCAGGACAATGCTAGGCCTGTCTCTTATACACATCTAGATGTGTATAAGAGACAGATTATAAAATTATTATTATTGTTATTATGTTATTTTTTATTATCCGTGAATGTTAGCAACTGGACAAATTTAATGCAGCGGTCAAGGAAAAGCGACCAGAATTGGTCAATCGTAAAGGTGTCATTTTCCACCAGGACAATGCTAGGCCTGTCTCTTATACACATCTAGATGTGTATAAGAGACAGATTATAAAATTATTATTATTGTTATTATGTTATTTTTTATTATCCGTGAATGTTAGCAACTGGACAAATTTAATGCAGCGGTCAAGGAAAAGCGACCAGAATTGGTCAATCGTAAAGGTGTCATTTTCCACCAGGACAATGCTAGGCCTGTCTCTTATACACATCTAGATGTGTATAAGAGACAGATTATAAAATTATTATTATTGTTATTATGTTATTTTTTATTATCCGTGAATGTTAGCAACTGGACAAATTTAATGCAGCGGTCAAGGAAAAGCGACCAGAATTGGTCAATCGTAAAGGTGTCATTTTCCACCAGGACAATGCTAGGCCTGTCTCTTATACACATCTAGATGTGTATAAGAGACAGATTATAAAATTATTATTATTGTTATTATGTTATTTTTTATTATCCGTGAATGTTAGCAACTGGACAAATTTAATGCAGCGGTCAAGGAAAAGCGACCAGAATTGGTCAATCGTAAAGGTGTCATTTTCCACCAGGACAATGCTAGGCCTGTCTCTTATACACATCTAGATGTGTATAAGAGACAGATTATAAAATTATTATTATTGTTATTATGTTATTTTTTATTATCCGTGAATGTTAGCAACTGGACAAATTTAATGCAGCGGTCAAGGAAAAGCGACCAGAATTGGTCAATCGTAAAGGTGTCATTTTCCACCAGGACAATGCTAGGCCTGTCTCTTATACACATCTAGATGTGTATAAGAGACAGATTATAAAATTATTATTATTGTTATTATGTTATTTTTTATTATCCGTGAATGTTAGCAACTGGACAAATTTAATGCAGCGGTCAAGGAAAAGCGACCAGAATTGGTCAATCGTAAAGGTGTCATTTTCCACCAGGACAATGCTAGGCCTGTCTCTTATACACATCTAGATGTGTATAAGAGACAGATTATAAAATTATTATTATTGTTATTATGTTATTTTTTATTATCCGTGAATGTTAGCAACTGGACAAATTTAATGCAGCGGTCAAGGAAAAGCGACCAGAATTGGTCAATCGTAAAGGTGTCATTTTCCACCAGGACAATGCTAGGCCTGTCTCTTATACACATCTAGATGTGTATAAGAGACAGATTATAAAATTATTATTATTGTTATTATGTTATTTTTTATTATCCGTGAATGTTAGCAACTGGACAAATTTAATGCAGCGGTCAAGGAAAAGCGAC